ATATAAGATTACGTCATTCTTTTGGCATCCTGGTGCCTGATTTCAGTGTTTTACAAGTCGCTTATTCCGTCTATAAATTAACTTTCTCGTTGGTGGCGCTGTCCAGAATGAGAAAAATAATTAAAAAATAAGACTTGTAGCAAGTCTATGTGAACAGCAGAACAGGAACCATCTCAGATCCATGGCAACAGATAGGACGCCCTCTTCCAAAGCTGATTACTTTTTCTCTTTGGTATATAGCAAAGATCTTATAAACACAAGATAGCGTTCTCCGGGATTTACGCGTGCAAATTCTGTAATAAGGCATGAACGGCGCCCTCTTGCTAAATTGGAAACTTTTGACCCTTGACCGCTCTGATCTGACCATACAGTACACCGCCTGTGAACAGCAGAACAGGAACCATCTCAGATCCATGGCAACAGATAGGACGCCCTCTTCCAAAAACTTATTACTTTTTCCATAGAGGTATAATAAGAATACTAACCGCAATGTATTCGATGTTCGAAATACGCAGAACTGTGTGCGTGTACCATCCAAGATGGCTACCATAGATTTAGCCAATCAAATTTCTCTAAGCGCCATCGTTTGCAAATGCGCCCTCAATTTACTCAGAAAGTTCAGTACAGCTAGTTACCTGTATGTTTGAAACTCGAGCGTTGCGGTGTTTGGGTGTAATGTATACGATTTTAATTTTCATTCCTTCGTACTTTATTTTTGAATAAGATGCTTCACTTGGCCTCGTTTTGGCTATAATAGTTTAATAATTTGTTATTACCATTACTCATTATCATTAATGAAATAATAGTCAGTCAGAGGGCTTATTAATATGTAATAATATGTATACTAAGCCTGAAGGTGGCGCTTTACTACGACGGCCATCTTGGATGGTACACATACATAACTCTGCATTGCTGCGCCATCTTGTCAGCACTCTAGTTGTTTAATAGCTCTATGACTTTTTCTCTTCGGTAATAGCGCATGAATGGCGCCCTCTTGCTAAATGGGAAACTTTTGAACCTTGACCGACGCTTCTATTTGTTACGCGTAAATCGCGGAGAACGCTATCTTGTGTTTATAAGATCTTTGGTATATAGCGCATGAATGGGCCCTCTTGCTAAATTGGAAACTTTTGAACCTTGACCACGCTTCTATTTGTTACGCGTAAATCGCGGAGAGCGCTATCTTGTGTTTATAAGATCTTTGTAATGCATGCTCCAGTATACTTGGTGGCGCTATTTAGAGGAAGACAGCTAGCTTTGGATGATGGATGAGAGCAAGAAGGTGTTGTGCTTCGCGCGTTTAGCCCTGAAGTAGGCCATGCGGTTTGGGTACTATAACTGCTGATTCTTGTTGTTTAAAACAGCTGTCATTTCGTTTTTTTTTTCTAGGAGCAAGAGGTATGTTGTATTTTTAATTTTTAGGTTTCACATTTAGGCCTAGAATAGAGGAGGTAGGCCTAGGCTACAGTAGCCTCTAGGCCCCCTAGGCTTTTGCCGTGTAGGCCTAGGCTAGCCCCTATATCCATTAATTTTGCATGCTCGGCAACAGTCACAGCGGCGGGTGCGACGGTAGGGTGAGTGTCGCTCAGCTTCCTGTAGGGCCTAGGCCCTATGTGAAATATGCCGTTCGTACAGATGATATGTAGCCTATTATAGGCCTAAGCAAATGCATTCAGAGACAAAGGCCTAACCTAGGCCAGTAGCCTAGTGGTGGCTGGCTAAATTCCTGGCAGATACATGCCAAACCGTTTGATTTGATTAAATATTGGAAGGACCGGTAATTTTAAGATGAGAAATTCTCCAATTCCTCACCTTAACCTTAGTCATTGGCCCTGGGGAGTAAATATTAGACCTGAGCCTGTGTAGGCGCGCTACCTAGGCCTAAGCCCAATCTACAGTAGGATTCAGGAATGCCATCTGGTGTAAATTTAAGAAAAAATGTTAACTGTCCACATGACGAACCGTTAATGGGAAACTTTTTATGGCTGGTCCCAACTTTGAATGGATGCCATTCCATTTTAATTAATTCATTTGATCAGCATGTGCTTGCTTTTGGCTAGAGACAACTACCCATAGATAATATATCTGTAATATAAGATGTATACACTCACTCATATGGAAACAGGGTGACCTCGAAAATAAAAAAATAAAAATTGTGTAGTTAAAGTGGGTGTTTTGAGTGCAGATAACTTCAAAAGAGAAGGGATAACAGTTAATCTGATGCCATATTTGTGTAATATGGTGGAAAGTAAGTTAGAATACCAAGTTTGATCTTGATAGCTATTAATTACCAATCCAGAGTTATAAGCTTCCAAAGTTGGTGGAAATTGTGTTTGCGCATCTTGAAGAGCCACGCACCTTTTTGGAGGAGTCAATATCTCAGAAACTACAAAACCTATAACACTAATTTGTTTTAAGTGTTCGTTTTTCACATAGTGGATCATTTTTATGGAGTTTCATCAAAATCTGAGAGGGTCATACTGAAACTTTTTTTAAATCTGGTTGATTTGACACGGAATGACCCACGTATAATTTTAGTTGAGGTTCGTGTGATTTAGTCGTAGTGCTACTCGAAGTTTGTTTTAAGAAGATGAAATGACGTAATATTGAAGTTTTAGTTTAAACTACGACTAGAGTTTGTTTTAAGAATACCGGTGGTTAGAGTTTATTCTAGACTAGTTGTACAGGCTTGATACCAGGCTTTGCGGCCAGAGAAACTGACAGGGCAATGGGTAGGGACGGAAAACCTGAATTAAACCAGTAAGAGTACCCCTTACTTATGTGATAGGGAAGTCCTTGATCTTGGTGGATGAGAACTATATTACCCAATGGACTAATACTGGATAGGACCCTCGACCGCCAGTAGAGGGTACAGTATACAGTGCAACCAAAAGACTTAAAAAAATATGAATAGTTCGTCAGCAGGTGACAGAATGAATGAGTGAGTGAGTGAGCCTTCCCTTCACGAATTGACATAAAATATATTTGCCTTTACGACAGTGTTTTTTGTTTTTTAAGTCAATACACATGTGATATTATAATTGTCAGTACAGTATTTGGATTTCAGGGTTCCTCAAAACCCTCAGCAAATACTGTAGTTGCTGTGGGTATGGCTTTACTACAGCAATTTATTCTTCTTCTACAGCATCAAGCTTCATAAATTTTCTTAAGAATAAGTTTGATTAGGTTTGCTCATTATCAGATTTGCCAAGACTGTACAGTAATTTAAAACGTGGAATAATTATTAAAAGTACTGTACTGTACCAAAAAACCTTACTGTACAGAGTGTATCGTACTGGCATCCGCTTGTATTCACTGGCATTCTAACCTACCTACATTTCAGTTACTAGTACTGGAAATTCTAAGTTTGTTAAACTTGGAATTATGCAAGTTTCTTGTATGTTATGCATGGTAGCCTTCTCTTCACGAATTGACATACAGTAATGCAATTTCGCATTTTCTTTTTATTACTTTATAATCAATGTACATGTGATATTATAATGTCAATTTACTGGAAACTATCAATACTGTACAAAATGTGTTCCATACAGTACATCGCGACCAAACTTATTTATTCTCGGCCGAAATGGTCCTACACCATTAGTAGGCCTATAGTAACTCAGAGATGTATCCGTACTAGCCTGCAGTACTGTACAGTAGGCTTATCTAGTCTAGCTAGGCTTATTAGTAGGGTGACGTACCTAGGCTCTTGAACTGGTAGAGTTTCTTTAAAATAATATAAAACAGGAAAACAATAAACAATCACATTTGACCCAGCATTGAATGTACTGTATTTGTGCACAGCAGTGGAGCCAAGGGCTACACTTAAGGTGGAAGTTATCATACCACTATACCACCATACTAAAGCCCAGCAACTGCCTAGCAAAGTGCCTGTTTGTGCTGCTTGATTGTAAAAAATGCTGTTTTACACCAGCAGGGGGATCCTGGACACCTACAGTACCGTAAAAAAATGTACTGCAGCATCCTTACCCATTGATTTTGCCGGTCAATGCTCTACCTTATTCGAAATCAAACCGATTTCTATGAATTAAATATTTTATTAATAATAATAATGTTAGATTTATATGACACAAAATTGTGGAGCTTCGATGTGCCTAATACAAAATGTTAATGCACCACAGGCTTCTTCAATGTATTCCAGAGCCTCATAAATATTTCTTACTATATTATGTGTGTGTCTTTTAAAAAATATATATTTGAGTATTTAGAGATGTATTTAAAAACATCAGCTCAAAAACAGTTTTTGTTTCCATATTTGCACTCTGAATATGTGTATAACGAAGACTATTGTAGCCATACCATACTTACAATCTGTTCAAATTAACTTGTGGATTAAATACTGTACTGTAATATTAAATTCTTTTGCAGCCTCTGTTGACTCATTCCTTTGGCCATGAAATACATAAAAGATAAGAACTTCGTAAAGGGTATCTACAACCGAGCACGGCGCACACTTCCACATGGGTTGACGATAGAGCCAGCAGAGACACATGCCACACGAACAGGGGTGTGGGCCCAGACAAACTTTGCAAAAGACATCATCTTCGGTCCTTATCAAGGCCCAGGGGAAAACTCTGCTGAGGAGTGGAAGGTAAGGATCGATGATAATGAATATAAATTTCATTCCTGTTGTAACAAATTCAAAATCTGTTACACTAATTACAGTAAGTTTGTCTTTAATAATATAGTAAGCAATTAGTAGAGCTCCACATAGTACACTATAGGAGAATTATTGTATGAAGGTTAGATTTAATGCTTGAAAAAATTTCGTGAGGGCCTGCAAGGCCTGAAGGAAATTTTTTAATATAGTCAATTGCCGTCTTTGTAGTGTTAGTTTTAATAACCAACATTCCTTTGCTCTTACAGTCGACCTTCCCATTTACGAACTTCTCATTTACGAACCTTCTACTTTACGAACGTTCGGCCGATGACGTCATCGCTAGATTTATTCATCTAATTTTTGCTATTATTTATTTTAAGAAAAACAAATTACAGAGGTCATTAAAAATGCATTATAGTACTAGTTATACAGTACATTCCATTAATACATCATACTGCTTTAGGCTTTGAAAAGTCAAATCAATACATGATGTAAAATAATCAAAACTAGCCGAATTTCAGGCAGGCAGTGCATGCTGGTAGGCCTACCTTGTCTAGGCTAAGGGCAAGGCTGGGCAGCCTATAACAGGGGCCTACTCCACTCTGTCTTATGGTTACCTGCGGTCTAAATGAACTGTAAATCGAATCAGCTAGTCCGAGTATAAATTTATGGTAACATTAATTTTTTATCCTTTTAATCAATCACTGTTCGAATATTCAATAAGCATCTGTATTATTTGTTTTTCACTGTCAATAAACGATTAGCAAGCTGCTCTATATTTAGAAGATGACATCGGCAATTACCCATCATTCAATGCTACAGGTACCAAAACCACATGTTTGGAAGTCAGGAATGTAAAACAAAAATTGGAACAGTCTCTTTTTTTTAAGTTATACAAACATACCTTGACTAAATTAAATAAATAATAAGCCCAGTGCTTTTAATACAAATTGATATCAATGTTTGTTTACTAATTTGCTACAAATTACGGAGAAAGGCCTAGCTAAAGTTAGCAGAGCTGCTGCTAGGCCCAGTTAAACCTTGGCTAAACCATCACTGTATGTTCAACAGTCAGCCTATTAGTGACATGGAAGATTACTGTAGGTCGGTCTATTCATGAAACGATTTCCTTAGCCTATTATGAATCGATATTTAATACATTAGTTTGTCTTGCATTAACATTTAATTGATTCTTCAATGATTTATATAAATGTTTATTGAACACTTAAATGCAAAATTAAGCCTAGATATTGGTAGGCAGGCCTTACAGGCTGTACCTTACGCTATTCTTACGAACTTCTCATTTACGAATTTTCTCAATTACGACTGCTTTCAGCCCATGGTGTACAAAAATGGGAAGGTCGACTGTACTTAATATTGAAATTGAACTTTCTTCTCGTTCTGGGCAGTTCCATGACTTTTTAGTTCCTACAGTATGCATGTAATGCAATAGGAACTTTTGTAATCACTCTTCGTTTTTCCTTTTTTTTTTTATTGTGTGTAGTGTGTGTGTGCGTAGACATTTATGCAAATGCGCATGCCTCAAAGAAAAAGTTTTCCGACATTTTGTTTTACTTCGCGATGTGAAGTTTGATGTGAAGTTTCTGCAGAGTTCAGTCAGGGCTCACGCTAACCGATTGGCAAGTCGGCATGGATGATGTATTTTGGTTTTACACTGTGGCATAGGTATTTTGAAGAAGGCCTAAAATAAAACAAAAAGCTACTTGCTGAAATACATTGTTTTTTATTTAGATCTCCATTTTTCTCTTCATCTCCATGCGACGTCTTTTTCTGTTGTATGAATAATATGAAGGTACTATATCCCCGACAGTTGGCTATGCAGCAATGTACCCTTTGAATGCAAATTAAAGACAAGTAAGTGAAGATATAAAGGCAGCCGACTGTCGGGTACATAACGAGTATCTAACTTTCCACAAAAACATGAGGCCTATTTAAGCTAGGCCTAGTTCAGTACAGTAGATACTGCTTTCAGTCAGTGATATCGTGTTATTGTCTGATACATTTTAATAATGTGTGTAAAATTTAAGAATGCACCGTGTGGGTCGCTTTCTTTGTTATGCGGTAGTAGTATACGTAGCAGAGTGACGGCAGCAATCTAAGCCAAAAGGCCTAGATAGTATACGTTCTTGGTCATCGTAATGAAAACTTCGGGTGACAGATGATTGGGCCCAACTGGTGTGGACGATTGGACCCAAGATAGCTTCAAATAAATTGTAGTCCTAGTAGGCCACTGCCACCACC